AGGCCCGGGGGTTGGGGACCGCTGGTCTACATAACGATGGGCTGATTAAGACTGATGTGCTTGAGTGCCAGTTATTTGGAGGGAAAGTGTTTCCATAATATATTTTCATTTGATAACCCAGAGAAGAATTCGCTGCAGTTTCCTGCAGCTCTAAGAAGTGTCCTTTTGGCCTCTTTAAGTAGTTTGTTTTGGTTTTAAGTCTGACCTTTAAAGTCATCACTCTTGTGGACAGGAGTAAACAGTTGACAGATTGAGTTAGCAGGAGGCTGATGAGTAGTGGAGCTAGATATTTCTTTGAAGAGGTAAAAGCAATAACCAAAAACAGCTCCATATCAGTGTTAATGACACTGTCGTGAATAGCAAAGCCAGTTAACTGTGGGCTAACAAAGCAGTGCTGTTCTGCTTTTGCCAATATGTTTGTATTTACAGCAAGCCTTTTACTCATGCTGAGTGAAACAGAAGTCTACAATAAATGGCCTGCATTTGTATAGCGCTTTTCTAGTCCCTAAGGACCCCAAAGCGCTTCACACTACATTCAGTCATTCACCCATTCACACACACATTCACACACTGGTAAGGTCTAGTTAATGAACAGCAGTCACAAACCGCATACTCTAGTTAACCCTGAGGTGTTAATGTGAATATTAAAATAATAGACCACCTTATAATCCCAGTGGCAGTCTTGGAAACTGTCCATGATTTTCCCCACCTTCTGTTGACACATACTGGGATAGGCTCCAAAGCCCTTGTCCTTATGTAACAAGCGAGAAAAGAAATTGGAAATGCATCATTAGAAATTAATGAGAAGTCAGTGTTGACCTTTATGAAGACATGATGATGGGAATGAAAGGCCTGAAATAGGCCTGTTACTTTCTTATCTATCCCAAAGGTCAATAACAACTTAAAAAAATTTGAATCAGACATGTAATTACTAGACTGCATAAAAATAACTGAACCCTTTATTTTAGGCATCAACTAGCAATAAGGGAAACTGTTTCTATCACAAACATCTACAGATGAGGACAAGTCAAACACACATCTCCTCAGCAAATCCAGCCCATTCTTCTTTGGCAAATCACTCAAGCTCATCCAGATTTGATCGTCTTGTGGCATGAACCTCGCTCTTTAGTTCATGCCACAGATTTTTCTCATTTGTGCAATGCATCAGTAATGTGGAGGTAGTTTTTCACGTGAAGCGGCGTATGTTTTGGGTCGTTGTCGTGTTGGAAGACAAAGCGACAACTCAGATCCAGTTTTGCTGCTGACTGCTTGAGTTTTTCTTTCACAATCTTCACACATACTTTTTCTTCATGAGTGCTCCCACCTTAATGAGCTGTCCAGTTCCAGACACACTGATCCACTATAGGGACGGTGCTCTTTGGGTTGTATGCTTCTCCCTTCTCTGTGGCCAAAGTTTGGTCTCATCTCACCAAAGAACACATTTACATTATTCATAATCTTTCTCCAGGTTGTCCTTGGCATACTTAACTCTGGTTTGAAGGAGTCTCTTCTGCAGAAGTGGAATTTTTCTTGCTCTGCAACCTCACGGTCCCTACCTGAACAGGGTTCTAGTGATTGTCTTCTTTGAGACTACAATTTTCAACCTTGCTAACTTGCATTCACTGATGTCCTGGCAGTTGTTCTGGGGTCTTTATTCGTGTCTTTTTCTAATTTTCTTTCCGGAGTCTTTGACATCTTGTGCTTCCCACCTTAGCTCCCATTCCAGCTTGGCAACACTGAGATAACTTTGTATATCCATCTCCTGCTTTTGTTTTTGGCACAATGTTTTCTCAAGTGACAGGTCAAACCCTTGCCGATGTTTTTATACTGTGTGTAAACTGGAAGATAACCCTCAGTTTTAACTTGATTTTACAACCTATAACATTAAAGCACATCATTGCATACCAGTGGTTTGTGCTGTGGCTCAATAAAAAGGTCCGTTTTTGTTTAGAAAATTTTGACAAAAACTTTCAATCTCATGGGGGAGGGGATGATACTTTTGTCCTCATCTGTACTTAGTTGCTTTAAATATGTTCAGTGAAAATATAGTCACTGAATTCAACAAAGGGAGCATTTAATGGCTGATTCCCCTTGTTAGACTGGGTGCGAGAGGTCGGCGGATCAATCCAAATATCGATAGTATCCATACCAACACTGGTATGGGATGGATACTAACGCGATAGGATGAAAGCAATACACCTTAAACATCCACTGTGAAAAATGTCCGAACCTTTTGTGCCGACTGTCACGTCTATTTTATTTATGGCCTATAGTACCTATAGCATAACAGAAACAACGAAGGTTGTCCGAAAGTGCTAGAAAGGCATATTTACATTCCTGGTCGCCAAAAAAAAAATCAAAAATCCCCTTTCAAACTACATAAAAAATTGAAAGGCATTGTGGAAAGTAAAAAATCACAGTGATTTAATGATTATTAAACATAAGGTGTCCGTATAGGTTTAAAGTATTGGTATCGGTAATACTGGCCCTGTATTTACTTGATAGTGGATCAATGCCAAAAGTACAGAACAGTACTAATGAGCGCTCGTGCTTTCTTTTTCATGTTTTTGGACAGGACAGGCTGGTAGGTGGGAGGAATGGGACGGAGGGGGAGGGACCCTCACACAAAAGATGCTCCTGCTTTTCCACATTTCTTTTGCGCTAAACGAATATTTTCAGAATGTCTCCTTAAACAGAAACACGAGGATACAGTGAAGACACCCAGTTTTCCAGCAAACCCCATCCCATTTATTCAGAAGCAAAGAAAAAAATCCGACTTTTCATTTGCGCATGTGCCGTAGCCAGTCGTCAGCGTATTCTATTGAATTCAATAACGAGATGTGAATAGACGAATACTAGACTTCCGCAGGTGAGGACCGAGCTGGAGATGCTCTGTTTGCCATCTGGCATCCTGAAATAGCACTAGATTTTTTTTTAAACTGCCTCTAGCTACCCATCTGCAGTGAAGAAAGGGGAATAAGAGCATTGCGGCTGGGCTTCTTTTTTTTCTTTTTTTTTTTGGTGGTGAAGTCAAGGGATACTAGCAACGTCCTGCAGGATAAGGGCCCGCCTAAACTACCACATTCATGTGTTGTGATTGATTTGCCCCCCCTCCCCTTCCCCGTGCGTACGAAAAATCTTGCATAGATTTAGGAGGTAAGAAAGAGTGACATTGTGCATTTTGCGTGTTATATATCAGTGGTTTGTGCAGCATCTGTGTAGCTCGTTGGATGGTTTTGAGAATGGGAGCAGCCAAAAAAAAGAAAAGGGGGGAAAAAACCTTTGGGTGGAAATATCTGCACTTGCGTCAGCTGGCAGAGCTCCATCGCAGCTAACGGTTAGCAGCTAGCCGTTAGGATGCAAAACGCGCTACCCAGCTAGAGCAGCGGTAGTTCGTCCCCGGGAAACGTTGAGTGAACCACACACAAACCCCGCATGTGTGAGGAAAAACACTCCCCGCCCGTCGCCTCCTACTCGCTGGCGGTGAAACGCTTGCGTGCCCGCCGCTGCTGGTGACCCAGCCCCGGCCCACCGGCACAGCTGCCGAGCTCCCCCCCTCCCCGGCAGTGCGGCGGAACAGTGTCTGCGGTTATCACCTTCCCCTGAACCGTATAAATTTTAGTCTGTTACACCGTATTTGGTTAAAGCTTAGATTAAACTTCGCTTAGTGCTGTGTCTCTTGGATATCTCTGGGGAATGCTCCCCCAAAACCCTATACTGACCAAAACACACATGTCCACCCCCCATCCTCTTTTTCTTCTTCTTTAACGTTATATTAGCCGGTTTTGCTAAAAGCACGTAAATCTTTTAAATAACGTTAACTATCTACTTTTAAGAGTCTGAAGAGGTCATCTAAAATCACAAGTGAACATTGACTGCTAAATAAGATTATTAATATAACTGATTTAAAGAAGAGAGCGGGTGGCGGAGGGGACATGCGGAGCTTTGTGGTTGTGTCGGCTAACGTTAGCCAGCAACCTTTGTTTAACGCTAGCACAGAGCCTCCAATGAATACGACGTACATGAAATACTCAGCCTTTAATTTTAAAATATATATCCCATGTATGTGGCCATTATTATAAACAAAAGCTGAATTGGATTTAAAGTGGCAGTATCGCACACACCCATTTAATCACAGTAGCCCAGACTGTGAGTATAGCAGCCAGGGAGGCCAGACACCTTGGGGGGCTGCTGACTGAGTCTTTTTAGCATCACACACCAAACTGTCCCCCTTCTGACTCTCGGACCACAAAATGTTAGCACTAGTATTTACCTGCAGCGTCAAGGCTAAATACTGTGTGCTCTGCTGTCTGTAAGGCCACCATCATGATGCTCAGTGATGTGTGTGCTGGGGTTGGGTTGGGTGGTGGAGGGCAGAGAGCATCATTTTAAATAAGTAGCATCAACTAAAGCCTGCGGGGTTGTGAGGCATCTCATCTTGTCAGGTGAATATGTGGAGTGAAGGTGACTGCTGCTGAATGGAGATCTAATATTGAGTGAGGGAACATGCTGTTCCGATGGGCTGTAAACAGCAGAGCTTTGCTGTTCAAGCATTATGCAGCCCTGCAGCAATGTGGTCAGTGTTTGCAGCTTTGGGAATTGCCATGGGAATTTCCAGAGCAAGCATTGTATTTCTATGAAGAGCAATTCACCACTTCCTTTTATTGCACAAAGGTGTGATAATATTTGCAGATAGAAGTGCTTTTAAGGCATTATCAGTGCTCTCCATATGGGCAGTATAAACTGTGGCTGGTGAGGTAGTTATTTACACACTAAATATGAATTAAAAAGCAGCCACATTATTATACATGACACAGCAAAACTACAGAAGAGTGTCAGTCAATCCTGATCTGTACACATGCGCACAGTCCTGAAGTCTAACCAGCCTGAATAATCAAAGACATCTATTCAGTGTGGGTGTAAAATGGGCTTGGCAGCGTCAATCTTATCTTGACACATTGAGATTGGTGAGACTGGAGCAGCTCATCCTGCTTTAAATGTCTTTAAAATCTGGAAAACTCTTATTTGCAAAGCTGTTTTTTTTTAACTAAACTGCCAAAAAATGATGGTAGTCAAAAATAATGCGTGATTCAGCTTTCCATTTTCAGAATCTGTGGCTCGACGTGTGAAAGCAGGTGGGTTTGGTGTGTTGACAGACCTGTGGATGTCAAGAGGGAAAAAAGAAAGCCTGCAGCTTGTGTAACGCTCAGTCGGTTCAGACTGGCACCTTAATTACTGTCCTGAGACAGGATGTTTCCCACATAATTATACAATAAAGCCTGTCACTAAAACGGAATAAAAGTCCTGAATACCGAGAGTTTAGGAATTGCAATAGAGTGTGCCTAAGACAAGCCAGGGTTAACTTCATGAGATGTCTGCACTTACTACCTGATGACTTGGGCTGAATTCAATAAGAAACAGGGGTAATGTGCTTACACACACATAGAGGTCCAGCGTGCATCAACAACTCAGATCATATCCAGAATCTTGGAGCAACAACAGGCCATCTGTGGTGTGCTCACAGGAACTGATGCAGCACTTTAAAAATATAACATCCGCGATGACGGGGCTGAACTTTCGTTGCTGCATCTGAATCAATAGACCCAAAATACATTTTGTATGTACATGTTTAGGACTTGAAATGAACCGCCTTGTGTTGTTTTTAATATACCCATCTAATGTGTACGTGTCACACTCGGCATGCAAGATGTGTCTTCTTTTATGGTTTAACTTCATAGCATTTGCCAGTAGGTAGAGCCGACTTGTTTCCTCTGCATGCACAGGACCAAATTTAGTCACTGTTAATGAGCATAATGTGAGATGAGAGTCTGTGCTGGCACTAAACCAAAGTTACCCCAAGGTATTTGTTTCTCCGGGATGCTCTTTGTCAGATTTGTGCAGACCAAGAGGCCACTTGGTTTTCACTTGTGTAGCAAACTGTCATCATTTAATTTGAACATTTGCCTGAAAAATGCACAAAACCCTGATATCCTCTCTGCAGATATGATGCGGCGAGTTGTGCGACAGAGCAAGTTCCGTCACGTGTTCGGCCAGGCCGTGAGGAACGACCAGTGCTACGATGACATCCGCGTGTCCAGGGTCACGTGGGATAGCTCCTTCTGTGCCGTCAACCCCAAGTTTGTCGCCATCATCATAGAGGCCAGCGGGGGAGGTGCTTTTCTTGTACTTCCTCTCCAAAAGGTGAGATGCCTTGCTTCCATCGGTGTCAAAGAGTTGTGAGGGCAGATGCATTTAAATGATATAAGAGAGAATAGAAGTGTGCAGTCGTGTGATGTGATCTGTGATGTTCTTTCTTCCGCTGTGGTGGGAAATCATTTTGTTACAAAATGTGCCTCAAATGATGTTCATGTGATATGATAGTGCAGCGTTTTTTCACTTTAAATGCAGCTCACAGTATCCAAGTGGTAATTCATATTCAGAACTGGCCAAACAAGCTAACACCACGGCAACACTGAATAGATAGAAACAGCTACTGAACAACAGTGTAAAAGCTGTTATACTTTACGCACCTCATGAATAAGAATGCATGTAATTGTTACATTTCAGAGTCACCACTAATAACTGCAAGAAAAACAAGATTTTTTTTTGGGGGGGGGGGGCGCATCTCAGTGTGGCCACCAATTAGTTGATCTATTGAGAGTGAGAGAATGTTTGCATATAAGCAGCACCTGTCAGGGCGCAACATCAAAGAAATATTAAGTTCTATAACTAGATATGCTCACCGGCCACTTTATTAGCTACTAGTACGAGAATCTTGGACACCTTAAGCAGGGTGGGCTGAGATCTGGTGACTGTGGAGACCATTTGAGATATGTGACATGGTGTGTTATCCTGCTGGGAAGAGCCAAAAGAAGATGGGCACACTCAGGCAGGCTGTGGAGTTTCAATGATGGTCAGTTGGTACTAAGGGGCCCAAAGTCTCCCAAGAAAACGTTTCCTTTACCTTTACGCCCCCACCATGTTGTTTAGAGACTCATCAGAGCAAGAAATGTTTTTCCACTCTGTTGTCCAACTTTGTGGAAGCTGTGTAAATTGGGTTCATTTTGTTTTAGTTTAGTTTTGAGCTGACAGGAGTGACACCTGGTTTGGTCTTCTGCTGGTGTAGCACATCTGCTTCAAGGTTTGATCTGTTATATATTAACAGATTTTTTTTAATTTATTTTTAAACTGCTGACATCACCAAACTATTTTCACCCAAAGAAATTCTGCTCACTGGATAGTTTCCCATTGTTTGCAAACCCAAGAGATAGTTGTACAGGGAAAATCCTAGTAGACCAGCAGTTTCTTAAATACTCAGACCAGCCCACCTGGGAACTCGGCTGAAGCCCATTTGACTTATGGATATGATGTGATTGAGGTGTTTCATAATGACATTGCAAATGTTTTTGGTCTTAATATCAAAGGCAAAAATTGTGGCTTTAAATTTCAGGTCGGAAAAAAAATCTTTTAGAAAATTGTTCCTGGTTCAAAAATTGGACACTGAGAGTGTAAAGCTTACCCAGAGGCACGGGGTGGGGGGGGTGGGGTGTTGCAGCACACTCTGTCATTCAGAAACTGTGGTGAATTAACCATGAACCATCTTCAGTGCGCCCCTGCTGTTAGCCTGAGGCGTCATATCTGTAGTAAAAACCATAGATAATCAATGTTTAAATTCGCACGATTCTAAAGGCATTCAGTCTGTGTCATGTTACAGCTGTATCAGTCAACACATAATCCACACAGAGGACAGCTGCTCTGACATTATTTTAGGCTGCTTGGATGATTAGGTTATAGTCGCTGCTCAGTGTCCTACATCTGGAGTAAAGTGCTTTTACTTTGAGTCATGTGGAAAAGACAGAAATGATACTTGGATATCAGATTTTAAGTAAATACCCAAAAAGCATTAAACTGATCTTCATCTGCAGCAAGTTGTTTTGTAGCTGAATATCAAAGTTCACCACCTCCACTTCGGCCACAAATGAATTCAGTCATTGGAAAACATCGTGAAATGTTAGGTGCTCTTTTTACGTGTTGTAAAGGACTAAATGTGATTAAACAGACTTTTGTGAATAAACATGTGTCTTCTACTAAAATTCAACAGGACTGAATCGCTTCTGTTGGCAATTTTTGCCTATTTTTAACTCCTATCAGCTAGCTAGACTTGACTGCGCTGCCTTAGCTTACACTTTGACCTCTTTCTAATAAGCTTGTGCTGTGTGTTGTAGACTGGCCGTATAGACAAGGCCTACCCGACAGTATGTGGTCACACAGGCCCAGTGTTGGACATCGAGTGGTGTCCTCATAATGACCATGTCATTGCTAGCAGCTCGGAGGACTGCACAGTCATGGTAAGAACAGGACATTTGATTTTTCTTGGGGTTTTTATGTTTTATGCTTTAGTATTTAACAGAGGAGTTTACAGTTTATGTATTGTGAACTATGTGCTGTATAATATAAGAGAAAATAGGATGTTTTTATAAACTAGAATGGAGTTAATGTACCGCTGTAAAGCTTGCACTACTTTCTGTGTAATATTTATTTTAAAAGATCTTTATTCCGCAGATTTTCTCTAACTTTCTTTGTCCGGTGTAGGTCTGGCAGATACCTGAGAATGGACTGGAATCTCCCCTTTCAGAGCCTGTGGTTGTGTTAGAGGGCCATTCTAAAAGGGTTGGCATTGTGTCTTGGCACCCCACCGCACGCAATGTTCTTCTCAGCGCAGGTAACCTTTACCTGAAGCTTTGGAACAATCCATTCCCTCCAAGTGCAGTAATGCTGCCTGCATGGGTAACTCATCCTCTGCACACAGCTGAACTCCAGATCTGACCGATTATCTCGACCCCCTACCGTCGTTGCATTGCTCCATGTGGTGTAAAGTGCTGAAAATAAACTCGGACAAAGAGGCGTGTGCACTCACACTGTGCGTGTCCATTTTAGGGTGTGACAATCAGATCATCATCTGGAATGTGGGCACAGGAGAGGCTATGATAAACCTGGAGGACATGCACCCTGATGTTATCTTTAGTGTCAGCTGGAGCCGCAACGGCAGCCTGCTCTGCACCGCCTGCAAGGACAAGAAGGTCCGCGTCATTGACCCTCGTAAAAAAAAGATCGTGGCGGTAAGTGAAAGCCCTGGGGGATTCGGGGGCCGTAGCGCTTCACTTCAAAGCATTGATCGCCAAACCTGACCAGTGTGTTTCTGTTTTAAGGAGAAGGACAAAGCTCACGAGGGAGCTCGGCCAATGAGAGCAATCTTTTTAGCAGATGGAAACATTTTCACCACTGGATTCAGCCGCATGAGCGAGCGCCAGCTAGCCCTCTGGAAAACTGTATGTCACTGAAGTCATTTAATACTGAACACACTGATACATCACATTACACTGTTATCCTCATGACACTCCTGTCTTTTAAAGTAATGTTAAGGTTAGGGAATTTTGCTTTCTGTCCAATAATACAAGTCAAAATATCAGAGGCATCGTCAGTTTCTCCTGTCCTGATTGGTACAGGAGGAGCATTTATCTGTACTCTGAGGCTATGACACCTCATCTCCAGCTGGGGGCAGTCAAATCAAAGGGGCAGATCTATTAGATCTGTAAAGGTTATCCGACACTATGCTGTCACTACATGGGAGGAATTTTGTGTTTCCAGGATAGCATGGATGAACCAATATGTGTTCAAGAGATGGACACCAGTAATGGAGTCCTGCTGCCCTTCTATGACCCTGACACCAACATAGTTTACCTGTGTGGAAAGGTACATCAACCTCTTATTTACAAATGCTTTTCTTTTTTCTTTTTTTATTTGAATTACCCTTCATCACTCTTTTCACAAACTTAACTTTAAGCTGTGAATGTGTCCTCAGGGTGACAGCAGCATTCGGTACTTTGAGATAACTGATGAGGCACCATTCGTTCACTACCTCAACACCTTTTCCACCAAGGAGCCCCAGAGGGGCATGGGGTACATGCCGAAAAGAGGTCTGGATGTCAACAAATGTGAAATAGCAAGGTACAGTAATAATTTTTCTACTCGATGTCCAAGGTTAACTAAAAATAAACTAAAAACTACGATTCAATGTGAAAACCCATTTTAGTTCATTAAAAGGAATATGAGACATGGTAAAAAAGTAAGCTAAATTAAATTCTTTTTTTGAAATTGGAAAAATGAACTAAAATAAAATAAAAATATAAAGGAAATATCATTAGTTTTATTTTCTGTCAAAAATTTACTACAGCTTGCCTGATGAGTCTTTGATGGACGTGTTTATTGAGACGAGCAAGTCTGAGTCGACTGAGCACTCAAAGGACCTTCTTTCTACATATTCACCCATATGCATAGAAGGGCTTTTTTTTTTTTCCTAAGGCTAATGCCGTTTCACCCAACATTTACGCACTTGCACTCCAGTGCGTGTATCAGGGGCAGCTTGGGGTTCCTCGACATGTAGACATGTGATCGAATCGCCGACCTTCTGATTGGTAGGCGACCTGCTCTACCTCCAGAGCCACAGCCTCCCTAAATTACCAGTAATTCTCAAAGTGGAAAGTCCCCAAGGAGATGTGACTCACAGTTGAGGGAATCACAGAATATTTTTTATAAATAATGTAGTTGTGGTATACCATAGAAAATGTGTGTGTGTATGTGGTGGTTATTTATGCCAGCAAAACAAGTGCGTTAAGTTCATAACTCTATTTTTAGCTTAATCCAAACTTCACTCTAAGCCCAAAGCAGCAAAATCTGTGTTTCAGATAATATTTAATCTTATGTGACCAACAATCCACAGATGTTCAGTATCAAAATATTCACACTTTAGACTTCATGTAAAACTCATTTAACATAATGGAAAGTTTTTGTTTTGTTTTTACTGTAAAGCCATAAGGGGGAAAAAAACTTCTATAATAGCGACATCTTTTTATTCAAATGTTTAAATGTCTATTGCTTTGATGTTATATGAATGAATGTCAATGTGGAAGGCTTTTATCAGTTGGAAAAGCTGTAAAATGTATAAAAATGCAGTTAAAAGTCCCAAGCTTATGTCCCCCTTTATATTTTCTAAAGCTGTCCAGTTGTCTGGATTGGAGTCTTTGTCAGGCCAATTTTAGTCCCTGGCCCTGCTTTAGAAACTAGAAGTAGGAATTCTTTTGATATTTTTGCTCCTCTGACAGCTCGTATTCTTGTCTAATCTTAACTTTCTCTGTAGGTTTTACAAATTACACGAGAGAAAATGCGAACCAATCATCATGACAGTCCCACGTAAGGTAAGTCTGTTTATATAGCTTTACCTGCCTGCTGTGCTTCCTTTGCTGCTCTAAAGACCAGGTCCTCTAACTTCTTTTACACCTCAACATTTGTTTTTGGGGTTTTTTCTCCCTGTATCATCTGCACCTGCCCAGTCGGATCTGTTCCAGGACGACCTGTACCCAGACACGGCCGGCCCTGATCCCTCCCTGGAGGCAGAGGAGTGGTTTGCGGGCAAGAACGGTGGGCCCATCCTGATCTCACTGAAAGATGGCTACGTCTCCACAAAGAACCGGGACCTGAAAGTGGTCAAGACGAATGTTCTGGAGAGCAAGCCGGCCACAAAAGCGGAAACCGTCCCGACTGTCCAGAAGCACGCTTCTCCACAATCCTCAGTAGTGAGTGTCGGGACTGAAAAGCCGAATCTGTTGTGTAACTTCGTCTCATTACTGCTCCCTCTTTTAGCTGACTTTTCAATTCTCCGTTCCCAGTAATTATTATGGTTGGAACAATTCACTAAAATTATGGATCAGCACATACTCGGGTGTTGGAGTCACAATTGAGTGTAACAGCAAAGGAAAATGTTAACTGCTGCAGGGTCTCTATTGCCTGAAGTCAAGAAATAAAAATCACTGTTTCCAAAAAGTTCTTTAAATGTTTAAAATGATAAACGATGTTTTTAAATGGCTTCATGGAGCTAACTCGCTCTGTGTTTTTTGACCAGAAAATGGAAGACAAGCTGGAAGAGGTGCTCCGAGAGTTCAAGTCACTCAGGGACCGCGTCATCCTTCAGGACCGTCGAATCGCCAGACTGGAAGAGCAGGTCGCAAAGGTCGCCATGTAAGACGCGGCCCCTTCCCAGGACCGCTCGTCATTTTTAGGGAGAGAACCGACCAGATGGGGTCAGCCACGGCCAAATTCAACAGATTCGGCTTCATCGAGCTTGGCATCGTCCCCGTGACGATTCCAAGCCCACATTCCAAGATGAACTTTTTATCTTTCCTCATCAAAGCCTTCTGTCTCACATTTCGCCCCGACAGCACGGCGGGAAAAGGAAAAACTCTCGCAGCCCGTGTACACATCTGAAGCAAAGACATTTTTGTTGAAGGAACAGTCTTAATTTTCTTTTATTTTCTTTGTTTTTTTGTTTTTGTTTTTTTCAAATCGTGGTTCTTATGTAACGTTTGTACTCTACAACTGTATGTAGCATCAGTATTTCCATTGTTAATTTTTGTGTTGCCAAATATGGATTGTGTGCCATTTCATGCACTGCTTTTACATTTTGTTTTTTTTCTCCTGTTGTACATTCCAGTCACAGCCTGGTAGAATGATATAGCCAACCTGGATTGGTTTTTTTTAAACAGTATACGCTTCTTCCTCCCATCAGTTTGCTCAATGATAATCCATCAGATTTATGAATGTGAAAGAATCCCTTCTTAAAAAAACATTTTATTCCTGATCTTCTGGGCTTTAAATTTAACTGGGGTTTTAATCGAGGGAGAGGGGTGGGAGGGGTGCATCTCTCTGGTGTAAATGTTGTGCAAATGTAGTGGTGCCTCTCGTCACTGTCAAGGGTCAAAGGTTGCCCTCTCCAGTGTATATTGGTGTTGGGAAGGGACCACTCACCCAGCTCGTGTTTCACTCAAACCCCTCCCCCTGACGAACAGTTCTGTGCACATAATAAAGATTTTACACATGGGAACCCTCCACCTGCCTCCGTTTATTCTGATCTTTTTGGTGCGTCAATCCAAACCTATCATGCTGTCTGAGTCAAGTTCTCACACTGAAAAATTAAGCGTAGCATTTCAGGCTAGTTTTACAGGCCTCATCTGGAGACGCACTGCGCATCAGTCACTGTTGGCAAGAAGGACATTTGATGACTGCTGTAAGTGTGATACTATTTAGCATTTCTACCACTTTCCTACATCTCAGGTTTACAAGATCAAGGTAATCTCACAAGGTTGCCAGATTCCATTTTGCTTGTGACAGCTGTAGTTATTTCACAACATTTTGCATTCAAATGTGTTGTTATTTGGCTGAAATCATCTTCCTTTGGCTGCTTCCATCTGTTCCCCCTCACTCCAGTCCTCTACATGTCGTCCTTCACCATGTACGTGAATCTTTTCTGTGGTCTTCCTCTCCTCCTACCTGGCGGATCTATAATCTGTGTCGTTTGCAGTCCCTACATTTCAAATCACTCTCGCCTCCACACTCCTGTCTTCCCTCCTCTCTCGCTGCCTCCATGCATACCTTCTTCCTCTCCTCCTTTGTTTTTAGTCAACAGTAGCAAAGCTTCCACTAGCACAGCAGTATCATTGGTGGTCATTGTTATTCTAGGCCTCAGTCGATACTCAATGGAAGTCTAATGGAGGATGCCCTTCCTATTTATCCAGGCTTGGTACCAGCACTAGCACTACAATGGCCTGTGGGCCCCCGTGACCTTGAATAGTGCAGCCTACAGTAAACAAGATCATTTAACCTGTACTCTGAGCTGACCAGCACCTTTATTACAGTTCTCTAATGTGTAAATAGACCAATAATGATAATCCAGGAGGTCCCTTGGCACTGTGATGAGTGCTTTAAAGAAAAGGTCAGGCTATGTTTTTTCTCAATCTAAAGTAACCTGTGAAGTGGTCTGAGGAGGGACTAGATTCCTGCTCCAACTTTGGGCTCTGCTTTCAGAACAGAGGTTCTCAAACTATGAGGGCAGAGCACAGAGCCTCCACAGGGGAGAAGTGGAGGGCTAAGCTGAGCTAAAATGATTTTTTTCAAAGGGAAAATTAACAAGAATTTGGTTTTGCTGTAGTGTTGACTTTAAATACCTTGACCCTTGTAAAAATGGGGAATGTCAGAAAAAATGTTTGAGATCAACTGTTTTAGTATAAAGGGGCAGGGACAGTTATGGGTTAGTTCTGTGCAGAGCCAACACGCAGCTCTGTGGACCATTGTCAACATGTTTACTGTCAGCAGGGGGCAAAAAAAGTGAGGTGGACCAACTGGACTGTGAGCTATTAGTGTTTGTGCTGTTGTTGGTCCATCACTCAGACGACTGAAGTTCAAACTTGCAAAGAGCTCAAGTGAAACTGAGTGTTAAAGATAACTAAATGTGTCCACTGCAGGCCCTGTATGGTCTTTTCTTCGTCTTTTTTTAAATGGTTTTTGTGCCTCTTCTCAGTGGTTAACTCCAGTGGTTCTCCCTTAACTGTTCAGGCCCAATTTTCAACCAATCAGCATTAGCTCTGTGCACAACATCATCCACAAAGAGTCATTGTGAGCTACTTAATGTTGGGGTTTTGCACATCTGCGTATGTTGTATACCTGGAGTCCTTCACTCTGCATGGCCAAATATCTATGCACATGGACACACAAGCTTGAATTGCGACTTTGGAGGTGATCCGCAGTTTCTTTAATGGCCATTTGTGGCTCACTTCAAAAGCGAGTCATTCCTCACATATTTGCACGTAAAACCACTGTCTGTGAGTCACTGAACTGGACCTCTGACTGTGCTGGTGGTGCCTTTACTGGAATTATAGTTGTAATATTATAGCCTGCTGTGTGGTTTAGACTGTGGATGAGTGAAATTCTTGTGGTTAATCAGTCTATTACTTTGAGTTAATTAATTGTTAATTAATTGAGCTTTTGGATGGTGCTTGCTTTATTTAGCATCCACCCTATGTCTAAATATGCGGTGTGATTAAAAAGTTCTGGAAATGAGAATAATTCCCATACAAATCAAAAACCTTAACTGATTTCAATTTGAAGGTCATTTCTCTAGACGGCAACAAACTTGTTTATTTCAAACTGACCCCAGTTTCTCCAACTGTAACTTTGAAGAGTCCAGCATTTCCAGGAACAAGGAGTAAGGTCAAGAGTGTACGCATAATCTTTTAATACAATTAACAGGGTCATGCACTGTGAATTTCAACACTGGCTGTCAGTGCGCCCTGAGTGAGGGGCAGGACATTCAGAAGGAAACAGCCTTAGTTGTTGTGCAGACCAGCCCACCATTGTGCCCAGGAAGTGAGCTTTTTTCATCCACAACAAAACCACCTTAAACCTACTTTCCAAATCTGCCTCTCTGCGGCTTTGGCCACTTCTTGTTAGTAAAGCTGGAGGCTTACCATTATGAAGAGGCACGGGTACAAGAGGCCCATAACGTATGCATAGGGGCAAAAACATCACGGACACTTAAAATGGTCCAGAGGTGACTATGAAGGAGGCATCAGCCAGATAAAAAACTAGGGTTTTTTTTTTTTTGTGTTTTTGGACTGAGTTCCAGGATTTTCTTTTTTCTTTAAACACACCTGGTATGATCACTGTTGGCTCCAGAAAAAAAGTAATAAATAAAATAAAGCACTGGTTAAAAGCATGGTGCTACACTTATACTTCAGACATTGGAGCAGCTGATCAGAAGGCTCCCGTAGTGTGCATGTCGAAGTTTCCTCAGCAATTAGACGTGTTTGTATTAAGTAGAAAAAGCACTACATAAGTATAGTGTATGGCCTTGATTGGATAATTTTGAGTCTGATCTAGAAGATACAGCTGCACAGCTGTATTCTTTAGTCTTAATATTTCTTCCAAAAGTCCAACAAGAAAAAAGTCTGTATGCAGTTACAGTTTTACTCAGTGAATTTTCTCATCTAAAGCAGGTTAACAATATCTGACAGCACTGGGACCTAACTATAAATATCCACTATACAATAATAGAAGACAAACTGTAGATATTAACAGTGAGATTTAGCCAATATTGATGGATTATTTTAAGCCACATGTAATCATCTAACTGCTCAGTGTTTTAGATAAAGAGCTTCATTGCATGATCTGTATAGATCTATGTTGTCAGTTTTTCCATTTGGTAGTTTTGCTTTGTGTGTGTGTGTGTGTGTGTGTGTGTGTGTGTGTGTGTGTGTGTGTGTGTGTGTGTTTGTTTGTTTGTTTGTTTGTTTTGTTCACTTCTTGGCAACGGAACAAAAAAAATCTCATTTTTGTGTCACTGTCTTTTAAAGCTTGCGTTTTGCTTTTTTTGTAGCCACATCTCAGTGTGACTCACCAGTACAGGAAGTGACAGTTATCATTTCCACAGAAGATGAGCATTTCAGTTTCCCCAGTGTGCAAATGTCAGTGTCCAAGCTTCTTGTGAGGTGACTGTTACAAGGTGACAGGCTTTCAATTCATAAGACACCAAATCAGGTATCTGATTTATTACACATGATCCATCCATCGTTTATACGTTTATATGTAACTGTGTGTCCTGTCGCCGTGGTTAACCATGATATGCGCATGACATGCAGCTTTAAATCTTAGACAGAAATGTGACCATAGGGTGACGTGCGGGAAGCATCTGAGCAGTTTGCAGAACTGAGTACTTCCTGTTACGTTAGATGAAGTAGTAATCAGACTGGCCAAAGAGCAACAACTGATCCATTCTGAGCTTTCCATCAGAAAGGTAAGACAGATCTTCTGCTACATACCCGATTATAGCTGACAGGACTTGGTTATGTCTTCAAATGTTATTTTTTATAAAAATGATGAAAATGAAACAAGGTTGTGAAACGGTTTGCCTCCTGGCTGATGCAAGCTTAAGCTGTGTGATTCAAAGGGAACTGTCTGTATCTGAAAACATTACATAGTGTCATGTTGGGTTTTTCAAAAAAAAAAAAAGTGTGAACATTTCCTGTTTTCTTTTATTCTCTTCTTTCTGTCAAACACCTACAGTCGACAAGTCAGTGCTGTGAGACTGTCCTCTGAGAGTGGTTGAAATGAGCTGAACTTTTATCACTTTTCGTCCTCACCCGTGCTCTGTTCCACCTGCAGACAGGTAAGACACGTCCACTGCTGTGGTTAAACTTTTCTGACTTAAGGATCTACCGCTTATCTTGTTATGTTTAATGGTGCCAGATAAGTTCTGGCATAGGAGTCCGATTTATCAGATTTTATTTCTCTCTGCATATTTTACATTTTGGTTTTGGTTTTGTTTTTTTTTTTTTTAAAGTTTATAATTTTCTCTGACTGAAAATACAAAATGTGAATCCCCTGCCAGTCTGCTTAAAAGTTTTCACTTTTAATATTCAGTGCTATACTTTTGAGTTTTGGTGTGAACATAAAGCAAAGGGTGTGGTGACAGACACATGATTGCCTCATCACACGATGTAACTGGTACACTTGACACAATGATTTTTCCTCACATGTATCTTTTTTCCATGTATCATTCTGCAATTTCAGATTTAGTTTAACGCAGCTATGACACTCCTCGCCATGAAGACATTTCCAGCCTTTTTATGGGGAATATTCATCGTGGCTGCTTCCACCCCAGAAACCAGTGGTTCTACCTACACTGTTGAGCCCAACAAGACAAGCGCCCAGCTGACAACTGCACTTGCGTTTCACAATAAAACAGATTCACACCCTGCAGTGTGGGCTACAACTCACAGACCTGCAGCTACTACTGTTTCTGCAGCGGCACAGAGCACAGTGGTAACCACAGTGGAAACTAGCGCGGCAGCTATCAGTAACAAAACTAAAAGCTCCAGTGACAGTGTAGTCACTTTGATTCCTACAAGCCCTGCAGCAGCAGTCACAAGCAGCTCCGCTCCGCAGTTACTTCATACCTCCACAGCTTTGATTGAAACTCAACCCTCCCACCAAGTGACCATGAAAGAAACAACAACACATGCAGAGGACGGGTCCCATCCACAGTCAACCACAGT